AGCGCAGCAGCCGCCTCCACGGTAGGGCCTGGTGGGCTTCAAGAGCTACCCCTGCGTTGGTGGCGCGCGATGGCCGCAGGTGATCCTGTTATACCCTGGCTTGCCAAAACTGGCCTGCTACCTGTCTTTGCATCCCCACCTGGACGCCTTCCACCAGTTTCCTAGGGACTGAGCACCACATCTTACCCTTTCCAGGCTCCCGAGTGTCTGGCCTCGCATGTCCTGGAGAAGATCCATCTACTGCCAGTTTGCACGTCTTGCTGTAAACGCCTAGTCAATGCTCTACTGGATTACACAACCCAGGAGTGTGGGTAGTCATCACAAGAGTTTACGTCCCCTACTGCTTCCCTTTGTCCTTACCTGCCTTCTTTCCTGATCCTTTCTCAGTCTCCTAAGAACCAGAAAGTGTTGAAAGGCGAACAGGCCTGAGTGCTGGCATCCTGGTTCTCTATCAGCCAGTGGAAAGAAAGGTGTTAGACAATGAGTCCCTTGGAAGAGGAGATCTTATGAGATTGTGACTGAGGTTTGTAACATCGGGTTACACCTGAACAGCTCCCTGAGGCCCGCCCTACCACTCTGTGCTCCTGTGTTCCCCAAGCCCAGTGCCTGGTGTCTCCCAACGAGCAGAGTTAACCGTCTCATCACACACCAGAGCACCTTTTCCTGTTGGAATCATTAATTCCCCAGACTACAAAAATCTGCTTTCAGTTGCTTGGATCTTTACAACAGCCTCTCACCAAGTGGCCATCCTTGAACAGCTCCAATAACAAGGAACTTGCTACATTTTATAAGACAGCCATTATATCCCTGGCCAGCCCTTCTGAAAATTTTTTCAGCTCCTTGCATTTCCTCACAGAATTCTGTCCCTACCCTGGGGACTCTCTGATCTGACTCTAGTTCAAGATACCCAGAACAAGCATTCTCTGTCCCTTAGGCTGCTCCTTATTTGACATGGCTACAGTCTCGCTCACCAGCATGCTGAGGGACTCTTTCGGATGTGACCCAACTTGTCTATTCTCTTAAACGTGATCCTCAGGAATGAACGTGCAGCCTGCCCAGAGCAGAGGAGAGACCACTGCGTCTTTCTAGGTCCCGTGCTTCTGTTCACATCACTCAAAATGTCAACATAGTTGTGTGCAGTAGTCACATCGCATTGTTGGTTGGGTGGAGCACATTGTCAACTAAAACCCACAGTGCTTATGCAATCTTGAATACCATGACCATCCCACGTTCCCGGCCAGCTGCCAGTTTCTCTGTCCCTGCAGGCTCAGCATCTTCACCCAGTCTAAGGGATGACAACGTTGACTCGGGTGCTTCCTCCTCCCTTTGAGGGTTCCATCTTCCTATCCCTACTTTTGTCACAACCTTCTCTTGTCTAGCCATCCACCCCCTTTAACTGGTTGAAAGAAGAAAGACCACCTGCCCTTGGTGGGTGTTAAGCACCTATAGATGAGGCCTGTTGTCACTGAACCGCAGAAATGCATAAAGACCTGTGTGTAACAGGAGCTACTGGTGAGGTTGCCATGGGTGTGCAGTTCACTTTTACTGCTGATTTAAATTATCCCTCAGTATTACGAGGTGACAGGGTGTGGCGAGTGAGTTCTTTCAGCAATAATAAAGGTCTCTGTTAGAACCAGCCAGGCCACTGGCTTTTCCTGTTACACCCCAACACCACACAGTACATGGGCAAATTCCTAGACTCGAAGCCACCAAGGAGAGTATCCTCACTCACCTGGTTGTATCTCGTCAAAAAACTAAAGGTACTTCCTGGACCATCATCAAGAGTGCAAGCACTCCCAGAAGTCACGTTTTGTACGTTCTACGCATTGTATAAGTCTTCGAACCAGGTATTGCCTCACTAGCAAGAATGAGACGGGACAGTGACATGCGGCCAGAACTTGGAACCTGACCTGTCCATTGGGCTAGGAAGGCACACAGTGATATGGTCCAGCAGTACCTGCTGAGATTCAATTCTATCTGAAGGCTTAGGAAAGTTCCTGGCCCAGGTAGCAATAAGCCACAGTGCCAGGAGGTGATCAGCACCGTTGGCCAGCGTCATAGTGCAGAGAAAGGACATTACCAACTGAACACTGTAGGACACTTTACCTATGGGGTCTTACTTGGCTTCCCTTTACAAATGCAGAAACAGACTCCCAGAGGCTGTGTAAGTTGCTCCAGGTACCTGGAGGCAGAAAGAAAGTTTAACGTGAAGGCTTCTGATCTGAAGACCCATGTTGACCCATTATTCCGCATCATCTGTATAGAATGATCAACATGTAGGGCCCAGAATGGCTGTGTAGAAGCAGTAGGGATCATTCAGAAATTCAGGCCTCAGAAAGGTGGCTGTCAGGACCATGAAAAAAAAGGGTTAGAAAAAATAGACAAAGGAAGACGGAGTCGCTGCTCTTACATGGACTGGGTTTTAGGAAGGACATCATTCCTAGGGGAAGAAGACAAGGACTTGGTTTCCCTATGTGGAGGTACAGAGGACAAAGGCCTCGGGACCATGACGTGCTGTGAGCTGGGGCACTGGATTGGAGCTTCGCCAGCAGAAATGGCTAAATGCAGGATGTCTCACTGAGGACTGCCCCTAAAATCTTCTTGTCTGTTATGCTTGCAGATGATGTGATCAGCAGCTGAGAAAACCCCACGGCATCAACAGACTGTTGGAAGTAATGTTAGTTCAGTAGGGTCGCCAAGCACAAGATCAATGTCTAAAAATCAGTTTCCTCTACACCAGCAGCAAGCAACTAGGAACCGTAACAGACAATGAGGGACCATTCATAACGGCGACGAAACTCTAAAGCATAATATTCAGGAATTACCTAACAACTTGCAAGAAACATATGGGGAAATTTTCAAACCTCTATTTAAGGACATTAAAATAAATACATAAGTAAATAAAGAGATAGACCATGGGCAGGATGACTTCACATGGCAAAAATACCAATAAAATCTCTAAATTCAAGGTTATACCATCCAAAATTCCATCAGAGGTTAAACTTGTAAGGAGCTCAATAACTTACATAATATGTCATGAAAAATCAAATTTGATATTATTACGTCAATATTGAAAACAAGAGCAGAGCGAGGAGACCTCCCTGCCAGATTCTAGCAGGTGTAATGTAGTGATCAAACAGTATGGTACTGGCATACAGAAAAGCCAAACCACATGGAAAACCAGAAGCAGACCCATGTAAAAATGGCATCTGAATATACATAAAGGTGATAACACAAATCAATGAGAAAGGTTTAAGCTATTTAAAAGATGCCACTGGCCAAACTGGTATCATTCATGAATAATAAATAAAATTGGGTGACCCATGCTCACCATATATAAAGGTAAACTTCAGATAAATGAAAGACCTACATAGAGGAAAGAAAAATAATTGAGACTATGACTGTAGGGTAGGAATTTACTTTATAAAACAAGACGACAAAGCACAAACTGAGAGCAAAAGATCAGGGATTTAACTGCTTCACTATTAAAGTTTCTCTTCGATTAAGAATAGCACAGATTGGGACCAGCAGGTGGTATAATGGTTACGTCACTGGACTCCCACATAGTCAAACACAGGCCGAGCCCCGGACCCAGCAGCTTGAAACTCACACCAGGCACGTATGCAATGCGTCCCCAAGATCCCAAGAGGAAAATGGAGGAGAAGGGATGGTAGCGTGACCATCCCCCCAGGGGGTCATTTCTCACTTTCTGTCTCTTTGTCTCTCTCTGTATCTCTGGCAAGCACACGTGCCCTATTGCAAAACTCTCTCTACCTCTCTCTGTCTGCCCTTGGAGAGTACACATGCCCTATGGCAAAAACCTTTTAAAAAATTGAATGCTGGGACCAGCAGAAGGCGTAACGGTTGTGGACTCCCACATAGTTGACTGTGGTTTGAGTCTCAGAACCGGCGACTTAAAACTTATGCTGGGCAGGTGTTTGTGTGTGCTCAAAATCCCCAGAGGAGAATGGAGGAAAAGGGATTGCGGCATGACCATCACCCCTGAGGAATAATTTCTCACTTTCTGTCTCTCTGTCTCTCTGACAAGCACACATGCCCTATAGCAAACATCTCTCTCTCTCTTTCTCTCTCTCAAAAAAAGATGGTAAATAAAATTTGTGATTATGAAAGTACATGTGGTTATAGGTAGTATGTATATAAATGTATATCTCATTTGAGTATTGTTGAGCATTTATTTTTTACACAAGGTATGTGTGGCAGGTTTGGATCCGCAGCCTAGTCAACCTGCAGTGCACGAGGCACATGAGGACACCTAAGATCCTGAGGACCTGGAGGACCAGGAAAAAGAGATCCTGGCATAATGAGACTTTGTCAGGGTTTTCCCTCACTCGCTCTCATGCATGGCACATGCACTCTCTATCATTAAGAAAATAACTAAAGAGATTTTTTTTTTTGAGCAATTTTTGCTGTAGGGCACATGTGCTTGCTAGAGGGACAGAAAAACAAAAAGTGAGAAATCACACCCAGCCCAGGAGGATGGCCTTGCCTCAATCCCTTCTCTGCCATTTTCCTGTCAGGATTTTGGGCACGCACTCACACGCAGCTGGCATGAGTTTTAAGTCGCCAGATCCAGGACTCAAACTGTGGTCAGCCATGTGGGAGTCAAGCAACATAACTATTATGCCATCTGCTGGTTCCATAGATAATTTTATCATTCTTTAAAAATAAAGAAAAGAAAAGAAAAGAAAAGAAAAGAAAAGAAAAGAAAAGAAAAGAAAAGAAAAGAAAGATAAAATACTGGTAGTTATTTTTCTTGATAAAGAAAAAATCTTTTAAAAATGATAAATTACTGGTAATTATCAAATTAGTAAAGTTGAATAATGAGCATTAATTTGAATTTTCTTCATAATAAAAAGGTTTTTTTTTTTTTTAAGATGCTCCAAAATGGCAGGAATTTGAGTCTATTTCTGTCACTGCTGCCTCCCGGGTCCCTAGAATAGTATCTAGCACATAGTACAAATTCAGTAAACATGTGTGGACGGAAAGGGCTAGATTCTCCAACATTCCAGTCTCAGGAAAAAGACAGACTTTGGGTCCGTGGAATTTAGGAACCACAGGAGTTGTTTCTGTATCACATGCACACACTTGAAAATTCGAGGTATTCATAAAGCACAAAAGCTCCTTTAGCAGCTGTTTACAAAACCAATCCAGTTCAGTGTAAATCACCAGCAGGTTTATTAACATCGTGATTAGGAGTGGAGAGAATATTACACCCACCAGAGCTGCCGAAGTGGGTAGAAAGCAGCTTGCACCTTGTCAGCCATGGATTGAATGATTCACCTAACCAAAGAAAGCCATTGGCAGACCGATGAGCTGGTACTGAGTCATGAGAAAGTCTCCTTTGTGACAATACTATTGGTAATAAGAGTGTTTCTGACATTCCTCACCTAACCGTAGTTGAAACAAGCAAGGTAAAAATAAATAAGAACGGCTTTTCCAGATTCACAAGGCATTGACGTGAGAAGAATAAGTATCTTTTTAAAGGCCCTTTAAAGCATACCACACAATACCTTTATCATCTCAAGATAATCACAACCATAAGGCACTAAAGGGCACTCACAAAGGCAACCGAATTGCACATTGGTGCATTAAATCACCAGAAATGTGTGTCTCCTATTTGAGGGACAGTGTGGACACTGTAATTAAGAGGAGTGATGGAGGGAGAATGTCCTGTATGCTCTGCAACCCTAGCAAGTTACTTAACCTCTCTGAGCCTCTGTTTGCTCCTTTGTGAAATAAGATAAAGAATACTGACTTCAAGTGTGTATATACACTGAGCACAGGCCTGACTCAGAAGCCTCAGTAAGTAGCTATGGTCATAAGACCCGAGCACAAGAAAAGATAACCAGCCACCTGCCAAAGAAATAGTGATAGGATTCAGCATGTCCAAAGACTAACGCATTGCAAGATGGGGTGAACCAAAAAGGCTTAGAGGAAGAGACATATGGTGAGCTCGATGGAGAGGATAATGAAATCTAACTATGTAAGTGAGGAGCGAGCATTTAATTGAGTGCTTATTATGTGCTGTGCGTTGTTCTAAGTACTTTCATTCTTTTACTCCTGTAAGATAGATACCATTTTATTTTCCGGTTGGAGAAATCAAGGCACAGAGCACTTAGGTAACTTGCCCAAGATCGTATAGTAAGTAGCAGGACCAGGATTTGAACCAGAGCAGTCTAGGTCCAAAGATTAAACTCAACCACAATGCTTTGTAAGAAAAAAGGCTTGGAGACAGAAAAGTTCAATGTATGTTTAGAAGAAAGTAATAGAGTTTATGTCTTAGTTTGTTCAGGCTGCTAGAACAGACTACCATGGATTGGTGGCTTATAAACTATAGAAATTGGGACCAGCAGATGGTGTAATGGCTATGTCCATTGCTGAACTACCATGCAGTCGACCATGGTTCGAGTTCCGGACCCAGTGGCTTAAACTCACACCAGGCGCGTGTGTGTGCGTGCCCAACATCCCAAGAGGAGAATGGAGAATTCCTTCTGGATTGTGGCATGGCCATCACCCCGGAATGTGCCCTATAGCAAAAACCTCTTAAAAAAAAAAAAAAGAACTACAGAAATTTATTTCTAACAGTTCTAGAGACTGGAAAATCCAAGGTCAAGGAACCAGCACACTCAATGTCAAGTGAAGACCCTCTTCCTGGTTCTTAGCCATCTCATTGTGGCCTCACATGGCAGAAGGGGAAGGGAGCTTTCTTGGGTCACTTTTATAAAGACTGTAATCCCAAGGGCCCATGCCCTTCCAGTGGGGATTGGGTTTCAACAGGCTGTCTGGGGCAGAGCCCATGGTAAGAGACTAGTAGATGAGCAGGAAAGGTAGAAGGCCAGACTAGGACTGACCTTGACTGTCTCATGGAGTGACTGAGAGATTATTCTGTGAGGACAAGGAAAAGCCTCCATGGTTTTCTAAAGAGAAGAAGATTGAAGAGTCTGTCAGCTTTATCCAAAACAAAAACTCCTGCCTAAACCTTATACCCATATCTGCTACACTTTTTTTTCTTTTAAGCATTTTTATTCTTTTTTAATATCCCCAAGTTTTTAAAACTAAATTGATACATACTAATTATACATATTTACAGAGCATGGTATTCTTTTGATACATGGTATCCTAATAAAGAAAAAAATCTGAATACTAGAAGCAGATCATGAATTCAAGCATTTTGAAGTGAAATTTAACAGCTGAAAGTAAAAGTTGCCTTTAGATTCTTAGCCTCTATCAATTCGAATTAGATTTCTTTTCATAGCAACTGATTGTACAAATAATTTCTCCAAAGACAGCTTAGTTTTTATATTTAATGTGTGCTTAATAATAACCTGCTTTCAAAATGAAGTGGAGACAAGTTATACAGATGCCCTTGGGGGATGAAAATCTATTATTTCTGCCTTTCCCATCACACCTCATTAACCACTTCCCAGCATAACAATAACACCCACATATCATCATTGTAACCACTTAGTTCTTATGTAATAATGTAGTCATAGATCATCTGTTGAATATATGCCCACTAGACAAAGCACAGTGCCAGCACAGAGACCACAGCCATACCACTCCCTTGGGTAGTGGGGTGCCCACCCTAGGCACCCCACTTCTTTTGGCACCCCGGCTTTTACTTCTCCAGCCTTACCCATGCCCTAGCTCAGATGTCACAGCAGGGAGATTCTTAAGGCTTGGCTTGTCATGGGAGATCTACTAGGAAGCTGCATTTCCACCGACTTAGAGACACATTGCTAGTAGCTATAGCTTAGCCCCTTTGTAAGCAATATTCACCGACCGAATGAAATACATGTGCCACTGCTGCAAAGGCCATGGCCACACTCAGGTCTCAGCTGCATCTGAGACTGGCCACCCCAAAGCACTCTGGTCCACCTGATCCTTAGCTCTTAGGATCCAAAAAGGCATCGGAAAGGAAATACAATTCATAAGAGAAGCTCTCGCTCCTGTTTGTCAAGCACTTACTAAGTAGTTCTTGGTATCAGCAAATACCACTAGGTAAGTCTTTGTCCTTGGGGACTTTCTAACCTAACTAAGAGAATGAAATTAAAGCTGACAAAAAAGTGGAAAGTATGATAGAAATGCTAGTTTTTAAATGGAACCATACAGGGTTTGCCCATGACTGAAGGGGTTCCCAGGATACAGGACTCTCAGTTTTTTATTTTTTTGTTTGTTTGTTTTTGAAAGTTTTGTTTTGTTTTGTTTTGGGGTTTTTTTGTGTTTTTTTTTTCTTTCGATAGGGCGCGTACACTCGCCAGAAAGACAGAGAGAGAGAGAGAGAGAGAGAGAGAGAAAGAGAGAAAACACCCCCCCAGAGGGGATGGCCACCCTGCAATCCCTTCTCCTCCATTCTCCTCTCAGGATCTTGGGCACGCACGCACACACGCACGCCCGGCGTGAGTTTAAGCCACCGCGTCCAGGACTCGAACTGCAGTTGACTACATGGGAGTCCAGCAACATAGCCATTACGCCAACTGCTGGTCCCAGGACTCTCAGTTTTAAAAACAGAATAGTGCCAGAGAAACTGGAACCAGTTGATCACCTACAGATAGATCAAAAGGCAAGTTCTTCATCAGTTTTGATACCTTGACTAGATAAAATTAAATAACCTCTCAAAGACTCCCCTCTTTATTTATAAAATGGTTATCATAGTAATACATTATCACATTTCTCATAAAGATTCATTAAGCTACTGTATAAAAAGAACTTAGCACAATGCTGGATACCGAATAATTGCACAATAAGAGTTATATTGCATATATAACTAATAAATATGAGATAGCATATAATTAAATTCTGAATTAAAGACTGAATTAGGTGTTTGGGGAACTAAAAAAAAAATCAGAGAAAATTAAATCATTAAGAAAAGGCTCCTTAGAGGTAGGGTTGACAGATAAAATATAGGTGGCCCAATTAAGTTTAATTTCATACAAACAGTAAGTAAAGTACATGTCCTATATTGTTTTTTCATTTATTTTTCATCTATCTGAAATTAAAATGTAACCAGGTATCTGATTTTTTATTTACTCAAAAGACATACCTACATAGAAAAGAGAGAATTTAAATTGTTCAGGAGGGAAGGAAAAATGGCAGGCAGAGAAATAAACATGAGAAACAGCAAGCCCAAGAGGAGCACCATAGGGGACAGGCTTGAAAGAAGGGAGAAGGAGAGTCTTGTAGGGTGGGAGAAGGAACACCTTGATATTCAGAGGAAGGGTCAAGATCTGTTGCAGAACATACAGGAGCGCTAGTGGTAAGGTGCTGGGTCTCAAAAGGTAGAGAGCTTGAACTGGCTCAATTGATGCTGGGTCTAAATGGAAGACCGTGGGTTTGGTGCCCCAGCCAACTGGTATGTACTCGGGACATGTCCGTATGATCCTGGCTGGAGGGGAAGGCTGGCAGGGGGATTGTGACATGTGACCGTGTTCAGAGTGCTTTTCTCTCTCTCTGTCTCCCTCTCACATGAAAGAAGTAAATAAACTTAAAAAGAGGAAGAAAGGATGTTTCAGAAAAAGAATGAGGGAGACTTCATGAAGGAAAAGAATGGGTCCCAAGATGCTTGCAATGTTTTGAAGCCAGTCAGTGTGAGAGGGAGAATAGCAGGGAGACGGAGTTTATGGCTGCAGAGGAATGGCCTGAACTCAAGTGTAGGCGATATAAATGAGAGAAAAAAGAGAAAGGGAAAAAAAAAACAACAGAGGAGAGGGACCAGCACTTAGCATAATGGCTATGTCGCTGGCCTCCCATGTAGTCGACCGCGGTTCGAGTCTCGGACCCGGTGGCTTAAACACGCTGGGCACATGGGCATGCGTGCCCAAGATCCCGAGAGGAAAATGGAGGAGAAGGGGTTGCAGCGTGGCCATCCCCCCTGGGGGGTGAT